GTTCTAGTATGTATAGAAGTGTTATTAGAAGGCTATGAAATCGAATTACTATCAGATAATATCCCCAATATGGGAAATAATTAATATCCCAACAACTAAGTAGAATTAGTCATTTCTTGCTAAATCGCTTTAAAGGTGCCTGGGGTTTAACAAATCCTCGGTTGTGGAGGCTCATAAAGATATAACTAATGCTTGATAATAAATTTATTTTAATGCCAATACTTGTCACTTTGTGGAGAAGGTTTAAAGGTTAACAAAGACTTAGTAAAATTTGTTGAGGTTTATTAACATAATTGAATGTTTGTTGAGGTCCATTAACATAATTGTTGGCTAGCACTTCATTGGTGATGTTCTATCAAAAGATCTTCCCTCATGTTGTTCGGAAAGCACATTTTATTGATATCTTTGCGAAGGCACTTTGTCCTTAGTGCTTTTCAAACCTATGTAATGTCACGCCTCATCTCAACACTTTTCTAGGCAATCATGAGGTGTAACAGAGCATATAATCTAGGCAAATGTATTTTACTGTAATTCTCTTGACTTTACTAATCATGATCGAGTGAATGAAGTCTGGCTAGATCATCACAAAATATACTCATCTTTTAATAAATTCATCATACTCATTGATACAGTAGCGTGCATAATTTAAATCAAAATAGATTATAGAGTTTTTAATACTTAGAATTTTAAAAAGTGATCTATATTTGCCGAGTGAACACATTAATATGGTACCCCATTAATTTCCTTATGCCTCACAATTTATTCCTCACAATTTAGAATTTTATAAAAAAAAATTTCTATGACTTTTAGGATGTGTGTAAAGTGGGTATAGTTTCACAAGAAATTTTCATCTCACCTTTTTGAATTTTTTTGTATTACATGTAACAAATTGGATTATGCTTGGGAGTGGTAGTGTAGGAAAATATCTTGTTTGAAAAGTGATCTATATTTGCTGAGTGAATACATTAATTGGATACCCCATATAATTCTTTATGCCTCACAATCTATGATGCACCGACAAGGACACGACGACACGGACATGACAGGACACAGACACAGACACGGCATTTTTTAAAAATATAGGACACGGGTGCGGCGTGGACACAACATAATAATTTTTTAATATAATATATAGAAATTAAGGTAACATTATATTAAAAATGGCAAGCAATAATAAATCAAAGGCATGATAACTTGTTTAGCTTATAACATAAAGATGTTTAGTACAAAATGTATAGTACAACTACAAAAATATAAGCAAAAAATCATTTAGTACAACATGAAGGTCTAACTACTCAATAGAGGGAATGATAGAATTAGATTGATGTTGGTCTTTGGCCTTCAATATCATCATCATTGAATATCATTGCTTCCAACTCTGGTTCATCTAAAGAAAGATTTGCAACCTCCAATAATCTCATATCATCTAGGCACTCTAACCCATCTCCAACAACATCTCACATCTTGTTATCACCTGTAACATAAAGTGGGGGTTTCCTTGATAGAAGACAAAGATTTGTATGCACATAAACTAAATCTTCAGCCCGTTGTGGAGTTATTTTATTCCTTTTCATTGATTGAATAAATGAGTATGTGCTCCAATTTCTCTCATAACAGGAAGAGGATGATACTTGACCAAGAAATTTTATTGCTATGGTTTGAAGAAGCGGTGTTGAAGCTCCATGAATCAACCACCACATTTTTGGATCCATCCTCCATCTATCAACCAAAGATTATTGATCACCAAAATCCTCTAAATATCCAAAGAATTTTGCAAGTTCTATATTAATTTTTCTTCTCTCCTCATTTGGGAAATATCGTTTCAAGTATATCTTTCTTATATTTGACACTTCTAAATCTTTTTGTGGTGAGACACATTGAGGGTCTTCTTGAAGCCATTCTTTACTTGAATACCTTCAAATAATACAAAGAATATTAAATTATTTATTCATTTACCAAGAAATTTAAAATTAATTTAAAAGATGAATATAAATGTACCTTAGATTTAATGAATGGGCCAAACAATGCAGAGGTATGTTGCTTTTGGTCCATCTATCCTCAAGAATGGTATAGACAATACTCCAAAAACTTGTGTCTTCATTATGTGACTTTCTTTCATGTATGTATATAATTTTTTTCACTTTTGTTAACATAGTCATAAATCAAATATAGGCATGATTTATCTTTGTAAGCCTCTCTCAACATGTCATAAATCGGATCAGTGAAAGCCAAAATGTAATCTACTTCATCACACCACAAATCATCTATAAGTCATTCTCTTTCACATACCTTGCCTTCCCAATATCATCTTCTCGATAACAAGACCACTTCTCACTAATCACCATAGATTGAAGAGCATTTTTTATTTGTTTGAATCTTCTCAACATGATTATTACAGAGGCAAAACGAGTTTCAGTAATAGCTAACTGATGTGATACAACATGCGATGAACAAGAACTGCTTGGAGATTTTAATATAAGATTGTTAAAGCTTTGCTAGTTATAAAATTAATGCTTCCCCCAAAATAAGTTTTCGGAATTATCAAGTCGAAATTAAGTAAAGCATGCGGTTATAACTAGATTAACGGGACAATATCAAATTGACAACATAGACTTAGAGAGTAACGTTATGGGGAGAAACAATAATCTACAATTAACAAATAGAACTTTTCACCTTGGGTCTCTCACTCACTCTCTTGCCGGTGGCACTTTTAGTGGAGGAAGATTAAGAGCAATCGAGCGATGCCACTAGGAGACAAATGGTGCACAAAGTGTAGTCCGTTAGAGTGGTAGCCGGTGGCGGGTAGTCCATGGGATGACTAGTGAGCATCCAACGTCTTGTCCGTTCTTCCTTGATCATCAAAGACGAAGCCGTGGTCGATGTCGGGATCGGCAAGCCTAGGTGAGGCCTTGAGAAGTTTCAGCCTTGGTGGGGAAGAGAAAAGCTGAGAAAATTCCAGCCATAGAGGAGCCTGAAGGGAGGCGGCTGGTTTGGGAGAAGTGAGGGCTGCTGGTTGGCCTAGTCCGGCTAAGAGAGATTGGGAGGGAGAAGGTTTGAATTCATTCCCAAAGAGGAGAGGAATCCAAGGGGTTTGATTGGGAGTAAAGGGAGAAACTCGAAATCAATTCCTGTAACTGAAACTGTTACGGGAATTGAAATTTGGGCAAGGAATTTAAAAGCCAATTTCAGTTTTAAACATAGAATAATATCTGAAAAAAAAACTGTAATCACGTTAATGAGGGGAAGGTATTTGGGATGCTTTTATGAGGTGGTGATGTGGCAAATAGGAAAAGAAGCAATAGGGGTAATATAGCCGGCCATAGAGGAGAGAGAGGGGGTCGGAATTTAGGTGGGTGGGGCCCAAGGGATTAACTCAATTAAAACAATCTGATTTACTGAAATTCAGATTGATTTTAATTAAGAAACGTTTCAGGTTTAGGGGGATTACTAGAGGGAAAAAGAAAAAACAAGGTTTGAAATTCAAATGTGAATTAAATCCCAATGAATGATTTCCTAAATAGATAGAAGCTATCTTAGGAAAGTCACTTAAACCAGGAAATTTGGAATTCACAGAGGATGGGAGGGGGAAGGGCCGGCGGCAAAGCTGGGAAAGTTGTGAGTGCCGGCAGGAGGGTTGTCAGCCTGGACGGGGTTCCAGCCAATGGTGGAGCCTGGCGGGGGACGGAGGGGAGGGGCGTCGGGCTGGCGGCCTGGGTATTCCTGGGAGGGGGTGGTGGCAAGAGAAGGGGCGGGGGAGGTAGTGGGGAGAATTTTGGGGATTCAAAATTGAAATCCCAACTTCCTCCAAGAGGCTCCAATCCAAATCCACACAACGATGACTTGATCAAGATAAACAAAACAAAAGAAAAGAGAAGGACGAGAAAACCTAGAACTCACAAAGAGATCTAGCTTCTCCTACGAACTCACTAAGAGATCGAGGAGGGTGAACTCACAAAGAGATCATAAGTGGCAAATATTTTCATTCATCAAAAACTAAACTATTACATAAGAAAAGGGCCATATAAATAGGCCTCAAAATGACAAGAAAGCAAAAGACTAAAATGCCCATCGGGCTACAATAACGACTAAATACCCATAAGGGCAAAAACGGAAAAACATAAAAATCAAATAAACAACTACAAAAATGACTCAAATTAAAACTCATGATCGTGGCCGTTGATCTCCGGCGTTTCCTGATGGTACATGTGTCGAAATATCTGACGATGTCCTCATCATTCTCCCCAGGTGGGAGAAAACTCGACCCCGTCGAGTAAGCATCTATGGAGCTCTCGTTTTACTCTAGTAAGTCGGGGTCCACTTGCTGCAGCTCGTCACGATCGACCCATGTGTTCTCCGTCTCCGGTTTCCCTGCCCACTGAACTAGATACCTTTGTTTACCATCATCTCTAGTGGAGATTTGAGTTCATCACTCAGTATTGTCTCAATCTTCTCTGTATTGGGTATATTAGGCAATTTTGGGAGTGGAGTTAGGCTGGGGATCTCACCAGGTGGGTTCACACAAGGCTCATTATTTTGTGGAATAGGAGGGTTACACTCTGGACCTTCAAAGGGTACAAGATCTTCGATGTTAATATAGGATTAATGTTAAAACCTTCAAGAAAGTCTAACACATAAGCATTACTATTTAAATCTTTTTGCTGTTTATTTGCACGGTCCAACGCTTCTAGCATATAACTTTATAACGGTCCCTTGTGGGAACCGCTCCGGACGAATCCGAACCAATACAAAATCTCTAATATCAAATTCTTCGAACCGTCTCTTGAGATCGGCAGTAAGTTTATAAATGGCATTGCTTTGGTTATTCTTTTTATTAATATCCTTCTGCAGTTCTTGAAGATGAGATGCAAATGTGGATGCAAGAGACTCGGTGTGCATGATGGATGACAAGAATCATGAACTTACAAACTAGAGTTCTAAACATAGACAAATTAGGAAGACAACAGACTACAACTACAACACAACATACGAACTCACACGAACATGATTAAAAAAAAAGAAAAAAAAATGTGGAAGAGTCTCTAAATGCGGGGATCTAAAGTGTTCAGGCCTAAGGGAACTGGTTTAGGGGGAGCAATGAAGACATCCTTAGCTACCACGACACTTCGATAGGAAGTTTCAGTTATGGTCGTAGGTTGTCTCCTAGGGTCAATTGTGTCATCTTGTAAATTCATCCCACTAGGAGAGAGATTGTCCTTAACAGGGAGGGACAAGAACATAGTAGGCAAAACAAATGAATCAGGAACAAGGTAAGATGATGTCTCCTGACTCACAACCATAATGGAATAGCCAAACGAGTCACCAGCAGGTATGGGACTTAAGAAATTGGGTATGGTATCCATTACATAAGAGGGCACAACAGCTAGATTGGTGATATGAAAGTGTGGGTTAAGATTCTCTCTAACATTAAAGTCGGTACGAGGAGTTGTGAGATAAGCCCAATCACGAAAGTCACACTCTTTAAAATGTAAATCTAGATGAGTGATTCCTAAAATAGACTCCAATAAAATAAGATGAGACCCATTATTCAAGTTAGGCTCAGAAACTTTCAGAATCAAATCATTGTCTTCCGAACTCATATTTTTATCATCAATAGAATCAGATTTGGGTATAACCTTAAGATTGACAGGCTCGGGGTTGGTCAAATTGGGGCTCACATCAGGTAGTAAATTCAATTTAACCACTTCTGACTCGAGATCGTTATCATCAAGATTATCTAAAGTCAACTTAGTAGGGGTTACAGCTAAGTCAAGATCTTCCAAATTTAAATTCAATGTGTTCAAAGTCAGATTGGCTTCTTTCAAGATCACATTACTATCATTCAGGCACACTTTATTCAAGGAGTTATCCTCGAGGAGACTAGGATCGGGGTGGGCTAAGGTGTCGACGTTTAAAGGTTCTAATTTTTCTAGCTCAGGATTTAAGTCATGCTGGGAGTCTGATTCATTCACTTTTGTTTCCTCCTCAAAGAAGTCTTCGTTATCCTTAATATCATTAGCATCCACGAAATGGATGCACTCCGTTTTAGGTTCAGAGGACGTTTTCTTGTTAATGCATTTCTCTATCAAAAGTACACTTGCAGGGTCAAGGACTGGGGAGGCTAAAGGTTGACTGAGCTGGTTAGAAGTCGATCCAAGTGGTGAGTCATATGGGCTCGAATCAACAGAAGACCCACTAAAGGGTCGGTCACCAAGATTGAATGAAGACCTACAGGGTGGGGCAGCAACCCTGTCGTTACTAAAGGATGGGTGGTCTCGACCCCAGTAATGTCCACGGTTAGTTCCAATAGACGAGGTAGGGTGGGGCTCTAGATGGTGGTCACTGGTAGAGGGTCGGTATTTTAAATTAAGATCTCGCCTCATGTCTTTCCAAGTAAGGTACTCACCGCGAGACTCTCTATGATCTTCCACTTTTATCCAAAATTGAAGAGCTCGACCTTTAAGGTGAGACTTAGCGATCCTAATCTGGTGGGACTCAGGGATATGACAAGATTCAAAATAATCCTCTAGTTGTCTAACCCAATCCCTAAGGTAGTAAGGGTCCGAGGAGCCATCAAAGGTGGGCAAATGGTAATGTGACTCTAAGTGAGGTCGTTGAGGATTGGTCTCAGATCTAGGTTGATAAGCATAGTGGGGCATCTTCCGACTTGCATGACTTAGCGAATGGGGAACGTACCTAGAGTGGGGAGAGTCAACATGTGCCTCCTTTGTGGTTTTAGTTAGAGAGCCTACAAGACTAACTAGGTCGTCTAACCTCTTTTGAAAACCTATCGAGTCCATTAAAAGTGTTGAGTGGTGCTTAA